AAGCGGGGGAGGGCCAAGAGCAGTGGCCAGCACTGCAGAGGTGACTGCACCCCTGGCTCCGAGCTTCCACCCCCTCTACTTCTTCCCCTCCCCAAACAGGACAGGCAGACCACCCTGTGGGAGCAGCAGCTGGGCACTTTTCTTAAATAACTGAGTCAGGTAAGATTGCCCCCCCACCCTTCCCCCCGACAGACATTTAGGTACCCTCTCCCCTTCTGTGTGTGCTCGGCAGCATGCCCCCTGCCCTGCCGCCACTGCGGCTATTGATACCCCGGGGGCGGGGAGAGTTTTAGAGCTGCTTTTGCCTTGCTCCGCTGGGCTGCACAAGGAGCCAAGCTCAACTGGAAATGGCAGCAGCGGTCAACAGTCCGGTTCCCTCTCCCTGAGCCTGCTGTCAGGCTGGCAGGGAACGCCAGACGGGAAGGAGGAACCTGCCTGCCACTGCTGTTACTGTCCTGAGCTGAGCCCAGGTCCCCATGCAGCCCAGCTGGAGCAGGATCAGCGCATAAGAGGGGAGGAGAGGGAACCTGTTTCTGAGCAAGAAAGGGAAGGGAGGGGGACACAGACCTGCTTCAGGGACCTAAGACAAGATCCTGGCTGCTGCTCCTGTGGTGCGGTCTGAAAGGGATGTGTGGGGTAACCATACTATTGCACCCTCTTTGGGTCCACCCCTAGGTTAGGTTAAGTGTCTGAGCATAGTATCCCAACTTACCTAATTTCTGCCCTGGCCATTATAATGAATTATCATTTTCTGCCTTAGGTGCTTCATTCCTTAGGAGGGAGGTAATGCCTCCCTTATTAACAGTGGTAGTTGTTTTCAAAAAATGAATTGAAAATCTGTTTCACTTCTTGGAAGTCTAAGTAGCTCGACATCTGTATTATGACAATGAAGCCAATAGACTTGCATCATTCCCCCAATATCTTACACAGCCAGAAAATAATAATTCAGTCCCCTCAATTTCTGCTTTGTTTTAGGTTCAGAGTCTTTTTCCCATGACATTTCCCAATGCATATTTTTAATAGCTTCCACGTGTTGTGTGTGAACGCTTCTTGTTGTATGTGTGATAAGCAGGTCAGCAAATTAATACTGCAGGTTGTTCTGCATTTTGGTTGTGCCGTATCTCTAAACCCATATTAGAACTAAGCAGGCAGTTCAAATGGGGTGTAGGTAATTAGGACTTGTAGTTCATTACAAAGCCCACAACAGTCTTTTCAAGGTTCCAGATCAATGCAATAAATGCAATAAGTCAGCCTACTCTGTGCTGTTATAGCATTCCCCAAAGCAATGAATTATTCTCAGCCCTTTTGATTTCCATGTGCAAACATATATGTTCTTAAATAATTCATGGCAGTTCTAGTCAGTAATAAATACTTTATCATTTAACGTAAGCATTACATAAATAAGTGAGCTTTTCCGTTAAGAGTGCAGCTGTTTTTCCCCACAAGAGAACAGTTGAGACTCCACATCCCATGGTTCAATGGCGAAAGTTTAATAAACGCTTTGAGGACAATTTTCTACAGTAGCCAGGTCATTACCAGTGGGACTTGCTATCCTCACATGCTTTGGAAAATTCCACTTTTTGATCAGACATCCTATTGAGCCTCTCAGCTTCCAGCTGTGAGACCATATGGCCAATTTGACCACTCACCGGCTCAGGCCTACTGGCATATATAGCATGTGATAGTATTTCTCTTCCATCCACATGGTCATTACAAACAGGAACACTCTTGGGTGTCCAAGAGTATGTTAGGTTAATGAGGAAGTATCTTTCACATTGATTGTGTCTAACTGATTTTGAGATTCTCGTCTTTTAAAACTAGTTTTATTTACGGAAGGTTATATTTGATCATTGAGGACACTACTTAAAGTTAACACTCCACTTCTGGCATATCTATTGTCCAGCTAAGCTATCAGCCTCAGAAAATAAATGTTCCATGATAAAATAAATGTTTCCACACTATGGACTCATGGACAATAGTAAAAGCTTTCCTTGGTCTTCTCCCCCATGGTAAGGTCACAGAGAAAAAGAAGTTGGTTCTGATCTCCTTGGTCTGATTTTTGTGACCCCCCTAGTTGAGAATTCATGGGACTGACTATTTAGGAGGACTTTCCTGTTTCTCTGTGGCATGTCTAGTATTTTTCCTATTCTCTAACTGCAGTATATAAAACGTCTCTACAACAGGCTACTTACAGGGAAGTACACTAATTGTACAAAAAGTTCTGCCCTTGCATTTTAATGACCTTTCTCAAAAATAGTGCCATTACTCTGTGAATGAAAACACATTTTATATAGAGGAGACACTTTTTTCAGAACAATGAAGTGTTTTTTAACATGTTTTATGTATAAAGGCCAGTCTTCTTTTTCTGGCTGAAATTTCGAAAGCATTTGGCCTTTGAAGTAGCAACATTGATTTTAAATGGACCCCCTGAGAACTTCCTGGTAGATGGAGAAAATGGTAAGACTAATAAAGTATGCCAACCACTATACTAAAAAATAGAGATACACCCAAGTATATATTGTAAGGCTTTTGTGATGGCTATGAAACAGCTGTAAAATTAAGACCATATTTCTGTCTCTCATTACACTTAAGAGTCTGGAATCACTTTAGAAGTAATAATTCATTTTATCTAGCTCTTGAGAAGAAGGTAGGTAAATAATTATATTCTGGTAAGCAGATGAGCTGAGGAACAATCCATAGCAGTTTACACAAAATAAAAGAGTAGAGCTCCTGGTCTCTTGTTCTGGACATCTTCTGAACTTAAACTCTATATTTCTCCCCCACAACTTCAAAGGAATTTCTTAAAATGGTTTTCCTATAATTTTCAGGTCAATCAGAGTTTGGTATTAATAGCAGCTACCAATAAGTAAAAATTATGCTTTATTTAAAAATCTTCTGATCTTAAACTCTATATTTCTCCCCCACAACTTTAAAGGAATTTCTTAAAATGGTTTTCCTATATTTTCAGGTCAATCAGAGTTTGGTATTAATAGCAGCTACCAATAAGTAAAAATTATGCTTTATTTAAAAAAAATGTAATACAGTGGTTAAGATACAAGCATGGTAACATAGATAGTTTTAGCTACCCAATTCAGCTACAGTCTCATGAGTAAACCATTCTAAAGGGTGATTGACTTCAAATTTCTTTGCTAAGGAAGGCTCCAGTAACTTCTGAATTGTCTCCTATTATTACCCTGGTGAAGACAGTAATTTTCAAAGGGGTCCTGTGGTCTTTGTGTACTAGCTAAGCAGTAGGGGTGTGCGAAACGGGCCATATTCATTTCGGATTTGGCCGGAATTGGGGACAGCGATTTGATTTGTTGATTTGGATCGCTGTCCCCAATTCGATTCAGCTTAATCCAAATCTGAAGATTCGGACACACACAGTTTTTAAAGTTTTTTCTACATTCCTCAAGGTGCCAGGCGCAGCTTGCGAATGTTGCAGTGCTGGGGCAGATGGAGTGTCCACAGGAGCACGGGGGCCCCCCGCATGCTCAGCAGCAGGCAGCAGATCCAGAAGTGGACTGGAACTACTTCTAGTCCACTTCCGGGTCCGCTGCCGAGTGCATGGGGGTCCCCTGTGGACCTCCAGGTTGGCAGTCAGCCATGGGGGGGACTTTGGGTGCCTCCTCAGACCCAGAAGGGGCCAGGTTGTTGAGATGGATGGGCATGGGGGGGCCCACGTGCACTCCCTGGTGGATCCAGAAGTGGACCGGATGTGCTTGTGGTCCGCTTACGGGTCTGCTACTAAGTGTGCTGGGGATCCCCCCGCACTTCTGTGGGACTCTCCATCTGCCCCAGCATCGCAGCATTCATGAGCCGCCTGCTACTTAGAGGTATGTAGAAAAAACATTTAAAGCTGTCTACATCTGAACCGCCGAATCTCTCTGAATCGATTTGGAGAGTTCCAATTTGATTCAGAGAGATTAAAGCATCTCTTGATTTGATTTGAATTCGGAGATTTGGCCACCCAATTGAATCGGCGACCGAAGCTTCGCTCAGCCCTACTAAGCAGCCCTGTTTTGAACTAAATGGCTACTTTGGAGACTACAAGACTTGTTGGTTGTGCTCCTCTTCCAGACTAATGAAGAGCAAGCGAGGGTGTGTGATCTGTACTCATCTTAGCAAACATGTTGCACAAAGAAAAACAGGCAGTTCCAGGAAAAGGCAAATACATTAAAGAATGCTTGATCATGTAATGATCTCTTTCCTTTCTTTGATTATCCTACTGACACACGGGAATTATGGCTTAAGGGTCAGTCAATCTTTCCCCTAACCTGAGAGGAGGTAACTGGAAAGTGCTGCGTTCTGAAATACCCAAGAACGTTTCAAGAACGATTTGATGAAACATTGAAGAATTCAAACTATGACTGTCTAAATTGTGTAACTTTGGAAACAGTTGAGTATTTCAAGGTCTTATTCATACTTTTGAATCTGAGTTTTTGTAGAATAAAACTAAATTATAAGAAGTATGAAGATTATGGAGTCTTTCTGAAGGAAGGGAGAGTGAGGACTTACTGTTTTGACACTAGCAGCTTAGTGAAATCCTGTTGGTCTCCTGCCTGGCATTACTCTTACTGCTTCATTATTTTAAGTATTTACAAAACCACGTAACTTCTACTGAAGCTAATAAGAGTTAGGCTGCTAACCTGTTTTATCTGAGGAAGGGCACTTGATGGCCAAAAGCTTCTCCACCAGTGCTCCCAACTATACAGTTGATCCAATTAAATAGATGACTAAAAATCCTTGCTCCTAACCTGCTTTAGGCACTTCTGTAAATACTACTAGGATCCATGTGTATGTTTAATTGCTTAAACACTTCAGTGAATCCAGCTCTAAAATTATTAACATGAGAACCCATTCATAGTAAATCCTATTGATGTCTGACCCTGAGTAAGGTTACAGGATTGAGTGCTCTATGCCCTGAAATAAAATGCATCTATTTGAGATATCATTAGACCTTATTTAACATAGGCATTTTTATTTTCATCATTACACAGATTATTGCATATCAACCCTATGGAAAATCAGTGGACTGGTGGGCTTATGGTGTGCTGTTGTACGAGATGCTAGCTGGCCAGGTAAGAGTCATGATCTCCAGTATTCACTGCAATTTTGTCCCACTCATGTCTGTTCAGAAGACTGCTGCAAAAATGACTCTCCTAGCCCAGATTTTGACCCCATCATCCGTATCTTTTCACCTCTTCCCTGGCTCCTGTCTGTTGCAGCATGGAATATACCCGTTGTCATTTTCAAGGCCTGTCATGACCTATACAAACCCCATTCATTGATTTTTCATTCAGTTTTGAGAGGTCACTTCTGCCTCTGTCTTATCCACGGTGTCACCCTCCTTCACTCTCTTGTTCAAGTTTCAGACAATTTCATCTTTTCTATCAATATGCCCCTCACACTTGGAGGCGCTCCCCAGAAGCCCTCCTTTTCTCTGATGCCTACCCAAAGCCTGACAGTAATGGTCAGACTCCATGTATTGTACGGCCATTCCTAACATAACATTACCTTCATGTATTTCTGAGTCTGTCCATATCCATCTGTAGCTGGAGCATCAAAGATCTGGCCATGGAGCCGCATCATCCAGCCCCCTAATATTGGCCCTGAGTTTTGAGCTGACCCACACGCCATGCTGGAACGGCCTCACGTGCAGGGCCAAGACATGTGCGCACACAGCGCCTCCTCCACGAAACGCATTGCATGTGGCATCTGTCCTGGACTGCCTGGAGCAAGCACCGCCTGCAGCTCACATCCCAGACTGGACAGAGCTGGCACCACAAGTGCTGGATCTGGCATGTGGGGCCCACGGGACCAGCTCCCTGCCATTCATCTGGACTGTGAACCAATCCTGCACCATGCGTCTGGATGAGTTTGACACCCCTAATCTGTAGTGTCCGGCCTTCTCTTTAGATTGCAGTGTCTTTGGAGCAAGGACAATCTTCTTTATCTAAGTTTGCAGGCAGCTAGCACAATGAGGTCCTAGGAAGCTACATACAATGAATACTAAAATCTTCAAAATCTAATGAGAGAAACTTACTGCAGAGCCAAGATTAAGATAACAAGCCAACTTTAAAAGGAACTCTTTTGATCTAGGGACTCTCTTGATCTAGGGAAGAGCTTTGCAAGTAACTTCCATAAATGTTTTAGCTAGAGTTATCTACAGAATTCCCTGAACTTAAATTGGGTATTTTAATAAGACTTAAGTAATTCCTTCCCATGCTAAATTCATTACATTTTGTTTGACTTTTGAAGTGTAACAACTATGCTTTGTGTACTGGGCACTGGTTTTCATTCCTTCAAATTCTTACAAAGACCACCTGCCTGTCGCTCATAATCTGTAATTACTTGCAAATTGTTCTCTTGTTCAAGATCTATGTATTTTATGAAGAAAAAAGTGTGAATCTTAAGATTTCATGGTAATACTCTATATAAGGGTTCCTATTGACACTTAGGCTTGTATATAAACACCTGTATAGAAAGATCTGTGATTCAGCTGTGTCAGATAATATTAAGGGATCCAAGTTTGTTGTTTCCTTATTCTTAAGAACGTCTGATATTCTCATATCTTTACTAGAATTTATTTCGTTTGGAGTATTTTCCTATTAGCATTTCTTACACTTGCAGTAAATACTAAATAACATGTTTTTCTATGGTGTCCAAAGGACATTAATTTAGCTGGTGAATGCACTCATATTACTTATTATTGCGATATGAATGTGTCATAGAAATGTGTAAAGTTATAAAACTGAAAAAGCCCCAAAACTGCACCTGAAGATTTATAGCCACTTCACCTGTTTGCTGCTCTTCCTCTGAATATGATGTAGCTGATTTGTTCTTGTTTGAAGGGCTCATCCAGGATGACAGTCACCTACATGCAGAGGAGAGAGTTTCTCTGAGGCCTGTGCAACGCTTGAGGCCTCCTGCAGCCGATAGGGACTGATTCTCAAAGGCATTTAGGTCCCTAACTCCTATTGCAATGGTTTTTATCCTTGCAGTATGTTAAAAGCACTGTAACATGATGTGCACCCCTTAGAAACAGCATTTTCTTGTTATAAACCAAATGGGAGCATCATTAAAATTGATCTAAGAAAACAGCATTATTCCTTCTGCAAAGTAATTAGAAGTTATGGCACAAAATTTTCACTATGTAGAGCATTTTTGTTTGATTAGAGTAAGATAACTTTAAAAGTTGTAATCAATTGTAACTGATAAAAAAAAAAATCCTTGGGTCAGAACAAACTTTAATTTAACTTTAATTTATTAGATCAGTTAAATTGAAAAGCAATGTTAACATTTTCTTTCTCCTTTTTTTCTTGAACAGCCTCCATTTGATGGGGAAGATGAAGATGAGCTCTTCCAGTCCATAATGGAGCATAATGTTTCCTATCCAAAAGCACTGTCCAAAGAAGCTGTTTCTATTTGCAAAGGGGTAAGCAAGTTGCTGCTATATTGCAGGGTCTGTTTTAAACAGGGTGTGTCAAATAACCGAAGTTTGCACAAAGACTGGACTTGGTTTTATCGTCTGTTTTTTTAAATATTCCATTGACTTCTATTCAAGCAGAAATATATAACTAGTAAATGCCAAAGTTCAAAGGTTCACTTGAACCCAGGTTCCTATCAGTATAGTTTAATTTACGTGTATTATACTTAATTTAATATTAGGAGATTTTAAAAGTTCCTTTTGAAAGTCTGTTTCCCTTTAGGAGCTTGCTAATTAGAGAGTACATTTCCATTTCAAAGTGTACAGTACTGCTGCTTTTTCTGCAGATGTGTTTCCTCTGTGCAGTTAGAATTAATATTGATCAAGATGGCATCAGGAATGCAAGAGGAGCAGCACAGATTAGTTACTGTCAGCAGCCTGCCAAAAAATTGCAGAATCTGTAACGAGGCGTCTTGAACATGCCCAGAAAATTAAAAGGGAGATTGCATTTTATATGGCTTCAAGTTTAACTGATTGTTGAGGCAGAGTTGAACCTGTTCTGGAGGTACACAAGACTAAGTTGAAATGATAAGGGGGGAATTCAGACATGAGAAATGCAGATGTCAATCCCCCGCTTACACCATGTGTGCAGTTGGCCCTGTAATGGTAACCTTTGTGTAATGAGAAAGAAGAAAGAGCTTAAAGTGCAGCCTTTCATTTCAGTGCCTACATGTAGTTGCCAGCTTTCAAATAAAAACAAATTAACATTTTAAAAACAAGTTACAGCTTTTCAGGAGGATTTTAGTGCCAAATTTCATCTCAAGGTAAGGAGCAGTAACAATGCAACCTGTGGATAGTCTGTTACTCTTTCAACCCAAAAGTCACTTGAATCCTTTGGTGTTTGATGGCTTTATAGTTGATGACTAAACATCCTGCAAAACGGCTTGGCTGTGGGCCCGAAGGGGAGCGGGACATCAGGGAGCACGCCTTCTTCAGGAGAATCGACTGGGAGAAACTGGAGAACAGAGAGATTCAGCCTCCGTTCAAGCCTAAAGTGGTGAGTGAGATGCCAGATCTCTCCTTTAGAAAATTCGCTATCTCTAGTCAAACCTTTTCAAGGCAGGAAGAAAATATAATTTCATGGCATTGTGAGACTTCCATATCCCCGCAGGTGTGACATTTCTGAAGTCAATAACTGTGATTAGGACAGACTGCCATACAAGGCTATTACTCTGAACCGGTGTCATTCACGATCACAAAAAGAAAATACAAAAACGTGGCGAGTTCCAGATGGGAGGTTCCTGAGAGTGTGGCTGCACATATATTTGGAGCCGTTTCAAAAGGGAAACGCATCCGAACCATTCAGAAACCTCAGCCTCCCTAAATACTCTCAATTCTTCCCATCTTGATTGAACAAAGCACAAACCTTTTGACTTAGAAGAAGCTTGGAGCATGCCTGTATTCTCCTAGGTTTTCAGGAAGAGGCTAGATTGGTAAAGGGAAATGAGTAGTTTATTGGGGTTCTGCTTGTTATTTTTGCCATGTATAGAGGGGAAGAGTGTTTATCAGCTGTCTGGTTTATGTGCGAGGCCACTTATTATTTAATGTATATGTTTTCAAAGCACTGACTAGGAACAGTTGTAGAAATCCACATTAATCAGTGATACCCTTGGACAGTGCAGGTACATATAGGAATAAGAATGAATGTTCATTAACATGCTCAAAATTTTATTTAGCTTGTAACATGCCTTATTGGCATATAAATGCTTGTTCTTGATGATAAGAAGAAAATTGATTAGATCCAAAGGAGGAGGCTGCTGAGGCTGCCAGGGATAAAGTGTTACATCCTAGCATAGTGTCTCTGCTCAATAGCCATTTTATTATGCTGCTAAATAAAAATGAAATGCTAGCATTCTGTTTGTGTGATCATCCATCTATTCAAGTAGATGGCAAATAACAGTGTGGTATAAATTTTACATCAATATGAATCTGGAACAGCCAAGTTATGAATAGTAAAACTTGAGTTATTCAGGCATCATCAAGTTTTATTTCCGACGCTACACTAGTATTTATTGGTGTATACTCTATGCCTGTTACAGAAAAGCAATTGCAGAAATGTTTTAGAATCAAAGAACCATAGAAAATGAGGGTTGAAGGGAGCTCAGGAGGTCGCATCTGGTCCAATGCCCTGCTCCAAGCAGGACCAACCCCAGCTACATCATCCCAGCCAAAGCTTTATCTAGCTGGGTCTTAAAAACCTCCAAGGATGGAGCTGCAACCACCTCTCTGGGTAGCCTGTTCCAGTGCTTTACTACCCTCCTCGTGAGAGAGTTTCTCCTAATATCCAACCTAAACTTCCCTTACTATAGTTTGAGCCCATTGCTCCTTGTCCTGTCATCTGCCACCATTGAGAACATTTTAGCTCCATCCTTTGGAAAGAACAACTGAACAGTCTAGCTCCAAACTTTGGGAAGTTTGTTTTTAATTGTGAAGTGTACAGGTTTCAATGGGGGAGAAAAAAAAAATCACAATGAATTAGTTCAAATGAAAATGTGTCTGCAGAGGACCAAAATCATGTTGTTTTTATTCCTACCCAAATATCAGATTTGACAATCAAGGTATCACTTTGTGGCTAGAAGAAAATCCTGTGCAGCTCCAACCTTTCCAGTGCTGTACCGTGCATCTGACTTTTCAGTAGTACAATATGTACTCCACCGAGTGTGGAAGTTCACGGTTTATAGAGGTTACTGAGACTCGTGCATGCAACAAGAGTATCTGTACTGACTCCGAATAGTGCCTACCATCTGTTTTTTAATCTATCTTAGCCAAGTGATGCTCTAGCATGACAAATATTTGGTGGCGATGGCAAGCTATTCCTCGCGCTGCTGAGGAAGGGCAGAGCCCCCGTCATTCCTCCCAAAAAACTGAAAACCACCAAAGCAACCTCATAAAATTGGCTCACAGTCCAGGGGCAACAACATTAAGCCTGCCATCAATGAAAGACATCATCTAACACATCTATGAAAGCAGAACTGCACAAAAGTGCAAAACCTGCACACTAAGCAGAGTCCCTACTGCGGCAGTGAGAAGTCAGGTGCGGATATAAAGTGAAATGCGTACGTGAAGTGGTGAGGAAGTAAGCGGAGAAATGCACATGGTGCTGGGAGCCTCCGTCTGCTGTGCTCCAGCCCGGCAGCCGGCTGGGAGTTGCACTCTCACAATTCCTTCACAGACGCTTCTCACCATGCTGTCGTGTGTCACAATTAGAGCAGATAAATCAAATCCCTGTTATCCTCTCTGATCCCCAGTGCTCAGCAATCGCTCCAGGGTTCAAGAGAGTAACCTTGGAGGGTCTGGCCCCATATTCGCCAGCTGAAATTGTATTAAAGAGTAAATAGAAAACTTCAAATACAATTGATTCCAGTAACTTTTAATGGCAGAAAGCTGTATTACAGCTCCTACTTATAATACTTCCTGGCTACTTGACCAGTGAATGTCTGAATTCCTCCAAACTTCTTTGATCCCCAAAATTAAGCTAGAAAACTCCTATAGGATAGCTTTTCTTGCAAGATTTGAGATAATTCCTGGTGCAGATTGGCTCTGAGTTGCTAAAGTAACTGCGGCTAGCACTGCATTTTATTACTTTGGTACTGACCAGTGGTGACGGGTGCATGAACAGAGGCGAGAGACCAGTTGCCATTGGGGGCAGGACTTAAAAATGATTCCTGTTGTGGCCACAGTGATTTACACATCTTCATTTATAAGTATTTTAGAGAGTAAGAGACATTTCTTAGCGTTTCAGCTTTTAGATCGGAAATTTGGAGTGGTCCCGAGGATTCAACTAAAGGGAGAGAGGTAGGCCTTTAGGTAAAGCCTTCTGACTGCTGCACCTCTGGCTGAGATCTTCAGGGTAGGCTCTGAAGAGATCCTACATCCTTGAAGGCTTGCGGGGGTGGGCAGAAGCTGAGCATCCTGTCTAGATAGCAGGTCTCTGTCTAGTGCCCCTTTGAGACGGGGGACTCTGCAGTCCAAATGCCTGAGACCCGAGTAATCCATCTCTCCCAAGCACTGCCCCCAGTAACTTTTGCATATCCCACTAGAACTGCGGACCGCGGGGTAACCGTCTCACTTTTTGCAGTGTTTGTGGCACTTCAAGTAACAAAGAGTTGGCACAGGATTCACCAAATCAGTTGTGTTTTATTGGACCCAGGCAAGAGCTACAAAGTGGTCTAGAAAATAAAAGTGTTCGCCCACATTCCTGGCTCAGCCTCCTTACCCCTTGTACGAGTCCTTTGGGTGTTAGCCAACATCATTGCAGGATTCATCTTCTCTTCCTCCCGCCTAGCCTCGTCTTCTAGTTCTAGTCTCCACTTCCCTTTCTGGAGATTCAGTCCCCCTGAATGGCTTTTAGTCTCACCAGGAAATGTATTGCTTAGTTACAGCCTACTGGGAAGACCAGTCAGGTTAATGAATGGCCTTGCTCCTGGCAGCTCCAGGTGGCTCCACAGCAGCAGCTGTGCTACCAGAGCACAAATGCCACCCGGGGAGCGTACCAGCTGCTGAAGGGACCAGAGAAGGCAGCAGAAGGCATGGGGATGTCTACACTGTCTCTCTGCCAGCCTTTATCCATGCAGCAGAGGGGTGTAGTGTCAGCGTAGGGAGAGCTCAGCTGCGATAGAGGAGCTTTGGGGCTGGATTCAGCTGAGTTCTTCTGGAAGAGCTTTGTAGACAGACACAGACAAACCAATCCAACTTCTCCTGAGAAAGTCAGAACAGCACAGGGGAAGAAATGCCATTGCTCATTTATATTTACTTACTAGTCTATTCTAAGTCAATGTATGCTTGTGGAAGATGCCAGATAGCCTCAGAGACCGAATTCCTCATCTATCCACGGAGTACGTACAGCATGGGCTAGCTTGCACTCACTGCCTCGTGCATAACTTGAATGACACGGGAGTTCAAACTCCACAGATCCAGGACTATTCAAGCAACACCATGCGAGTCTTGAAATCCAAGCCAAGGGCATGGGGATAAATTAGAGACAGTTCTAGGACCCCAAATGAAGATGCAGAACTTTACATAGTTATCAGTGGCAGTTAAGAGCTATTCAGAAAAGGACCTGAACCCAGGAGCCTGGAACCAAACCCTTTTTTTTCAGGAAGTAAGTTTCCAACTACTAGGAGGGTCTCTTGGTAAGTTTTAGACAACATGTGCCATGAAACAGAAAACGAGAGGAAATAAAGCTGATATCTAATGACAAGCTAATGATGCAAATAATGTTGCTGTCTGAACACTCTAAGCAGTAATAAATGCAATCAGGCTTGTCATGGAACGTCTGGATGAAAAATTCAGAATTGCTGATAAGACTTAAGTCATGCAAGAAAGGCATGTCTAGACAAGGAACTTTTTATTTTTTAATTTCTCTTTACCTCCACAATCGTGAGCAACCAAGAGAACCCTAGACAGGCAACTTGCTGCCAGCAGCATTTAACACCATGTAAAAATTAAATCCTTTCTGAAAAGGAATTGATGACAGAATTAAAAAAAGTTTGTGGCCCATCCCTTCCAAGCACTCTGTATGTTGCTCTCACCAGTGAACCTGAGTGGCCATAAGCAAGCTGTGTATGCAGGACTTAATGAAGTTGCTGTTCATGGCTAATATGTAGAAGCTTTAGTATTCCAGAATGCAGGTTGGAAAAGCTCCTTTAGAGACACATTTGCTAAGATGCCAAAGCCATACATACAAAATGTGCAACGGGCAGGTAATGCTCAGGCAGAAGAAGATGCTGCCTTTCATTAAATACAGTTAGCTCCGGGTCAACTATTAGCAATTTGTCGAGGAACATAAATATCCCCCATTCCATCCCTGTATACGACATTGCCTTAAAACCACTAAGCAGCAAAGCACAAACCAAGTGTAGGCCCTTAATTACGTTCTTTTGCAATGTTACTGGTATTTGACAAAAACACGAGTAGCTTGGGGGCTTTGTCACCATCCGACGTGTGTTCAGAATATCTTTATTCAGCCTGTCCAGTGGTAATGAAGCAGGTACAGGGCAGATGGAGGAGTTGAGATTTCTGCCCGTTATCAGAACTACGTGGTAATAAGATTCAGGAGCCAAGCAGTTAGACTTCCACTGGCGAAAATTTGTTGTAATGGCTCGACTTCCTAACTTCAGCTAATACGTTTCTATTACCTTTTGGAAAAGCCCAGTCAAACCTTATCAGGCACAATTTTTCAGAAACCTGAAAGACTTTCTCAGAGCTCTTTAAAAACAGAAAAAGAAAGAAAAAAAGTCTTTCCTGGAAGATTGGACTTTGAATTGACTGCCATGCTTGCAAATCCCTCGAATGCTAATGGTGGGGCGTTGTTGTTTTCATGCGACAGGTCTTCAGACAATTTTACCCCTTCACTACAATTCTATTCATTCTTATTCTTCAGCACTGCTGTACCAAAATGCATTGGCTTCAGCGGGCATCGAGGTGTTCGGTGAGCACATCTTTGGAAACTTGGGTGAAATAAGCAAACTAACACCTCTCTTTAATCAGCTGGAGTGCTTTTCTGCTTGTGCTGATAATAAACTGAACAACTATCCTGTGAACGCTAGAGTGTACAGCTTACTGGATACCCAGTACAGTGAAGAATTCGTTGCAGCTCAATTTCAACTTTTGTGATGAAGTTCCTATTATGTGCTAGGTGCTACGTATGTGCTAGAAGGTAACTGGGAAGATTATAGTGAGCTGTTGCCAAAGTAACCTATAAACTGTCGTTTGGCCACTTGCATTCCTCCAGTTCCTTCTGTCCTCCAGTTTGCATCAGTGTAATATGGATGGATGGATGATATGCTATGGATAGTGCACAGGGTTATGTTACCATCTATTGCTTGAATAGACCATCTGTATATTTAAAGATTGGGTCTTCATGAACAATATTCTCTTATTTCCAAGGTAAAGGGGACTTCTAGTGGCCTAGCATGTTATTCTTATCTAAGGATGAATGCAAACTTGATTGTTATAGTTAGTGAGCAAAAGTTACATAAAACTCCCAAGAACACTACAAAAACAAGAAACAAAACACACTTTACAGAAATCAGCAGAGAGGAAAAGCACAGGTAATCCTTTTCTTAATACTGCCATACACTAGTAAAACCAAAGAGCATTGAAATAACCCAGTGTACCATTCAGGATATTCAAAATCCAGTTCTCCTCAAATCAGCACTCTTTTTCTCCCAACCACGTTAATATGCTCTTTCCATTCCCCCTTCCTTTCTCCTTGCCTTTAATGCAACTTTGCTCTCTGAGTGTTTTCTGCATTACTCAAAGCTTTCCTTTTTGTGAAATCCTGAGTGCTTCACTTTCATTTTCCAATTGACTCGGTTTCAGTCTGATGCACGCACAAGATCATAACTGCACGCCTGGCCGCCAGGAACAGAAGGTCCTTCCTGTTAGACTCCAGACAAGGAATTGTTGCGTCTTGAGCCCATAACAGCAATGTACTCTGTTTGTTATTAGGATGCATCCACCACCTTGACTTCCCCTCTGACTGGGGAGTCAATCTGGAGCACACACTGGTAATTCAGTTCTTTGGCTCTCCAGTCAAAACCTGGAGAGAGACAGGTGATCATAGCTTCCACAGTACTGTATGGGAGTGATTGAAATCACCTCTGTATATGCAATGGCCACAAGGACTTCAGTGCTTAAATAAGGAGTAGACTGCACGTAAGAAGCAAAGATGGGACACTGTTCCTGTGTGTGCCTCCAGGAGGGCTGTTGGTGGGCGAATACCACATTTCCACAAGTGCAAATTCTGTAATACTCTAGTACAGTGATTTTAAACCAGTGTGTCGTTCCAGGGGGTACCACACACGTTGGGTGTTAAAAACATTCTGACTTGTTGTGATCTTTCTGAGTTCATTGCGGCAGAAGAATTACTCTAGTATTTGTAGTCAAAAAATTAGTAAATGCTAGAGACTGGCATTTTCCAAGTCTTAAAAGGTTGACACCACTGCTCTAGTGGTTTGTCTATTGGGAGATCCCAGTGCCTGAACTTTTAATCCACACTCCTGCAGTTGCAACTACCACCTCTGTAGTACAAAGAAGACTCAAATATCCAATAATACTTAATGCATGCAATCTTATTCACATGATAGTTCCCCCAGAATGTAGACATTGCTTTTTCATCTAAGGTAGGGGGAGCATTAGGTTTCCTCCATGCATGTTCATTGAATTATTTTTAGCAGTAATAGTGCAATCTTCTAATGTCACTTCAGAAGAGATCTTCCAGTGAATGGGTAGCCAGTACTGATTATACTTCCCATGCAGCGTGAATGTATAAAGCTTTGTGCACAGATGAAGCACAGTGCATGCCCTCATTGGGCAAGTATGCAGCAATGTATACAAACCTGTTCTGGACATATACTTGCATCAAAGTCATAAAAATGTAGCAGGCTATAAACCTGTGACAAGTGGCTGTTAAATTCTGGAATTGGAGGACAGCTCTCCTGTATTTTAGCCCCGCTAGCCAAGCCATTCAAGCATGCACCCAGGGTTGCACACCCCCCTTACCTTGAGGGAGTTTGAACCTGCATCTCTGCCTGACCAGCTGAATACTCTGAATTCCCGTGCCACAAACTGGCCATTGCTTGGGTCTTTCTTCAGCATGCCTTTTGAAGGTGGCCTCCTGGTAGCCAAGAGGGAGAGAGATGAGGCCAGAAAGCAGACTAAAAAGGACATGTGGCTCAGTGAGGCAGCTGCTGCCCCAGAAAGGAGCAGGTCCTAGGTTTTTGTCTCTCCCAGTAGTGCTTGTTGTCTCTCTTATCCACAGACTAGTAAGTGTAAGGGGCACTGGCTTCAAAAGCAGCACTGGAGAAGTGTCTGGATGATGCCAAGCTGGTACTGAGGAGATTTAATACTGTGTTGGGAAATCCAAGAGATGCAGGCTCAGACGTCTTCTGGGCAAGGCAGGGGGCCTAAAACGTGGGTCTCTGGGCTAACTACTCAGCTAAGGGAGAATAAAATGTGGTGGGGTTCACTCTCTTCCCACATTTTTCCATGACTTACACTTCAGTACACATGCACATATCCAGCCAGTTGCATACAGTGTATGCATGCATGCTTACACAGCCACAGCATAACAGTAGGGGCAAAAAACAGGTAGGTAGCTAGCTAGAAAGCTGCCACTTACACACAGTAAGGGGAACAGAATTTCACCCTTACTTCTTAAATATAAATAGTAGGGTGCAATCCTACTATGCCACAGATTATGAACATGTGGAGGTAAACTTGACACCAGCAATGTATGCGACACAGAATATGTTACAGGCAACCCCTGCTTAATGCTGTTTTGCTATAATGCTCATTTTTAATTGATACCCGATTTCACATAGCGCTCAGCGAGTTTCATTATAACGCTTGTGGTCGTCATTTAAAACAATTGCAGTCACCACCTTGGGTCATCAAAAAGCTTTGGTTTTGCTTAACGCTCAGTTTTTCAGGAACCAATTAAAAGCACTAGGTGGGGATTGCCTGTATTAACACTGTACAGTGACCTGCACTCATTTTGCTAGTGTTCAGTTAAAAGCACATAAGAAGCCTGACTTAAGAGAATGGAGAAGTTAAGCACACGTGCATGTTTGCGAGATGAAGGTATAGATAGGTTAGTTATAATACCTTAACCAAACAAATTTCAACTCTGCTTCCAGTATGCACACTATGCCCTGTGGCAAATGGATCCAACTCTTCTCTTACACTAACATTTGAGAAAATACAATTCTCTTAAAGTTAAAAGTATCCCAGGTGTTACATGAGCAACAGAGAACCAGACTCCATCTACAGGTTGAGAGTGTACTTTAAAAAGTGGTTAGAAAAAGAAATATTGAAAATCTACCAAATGACTCGAGACAGAAGGAAATATTGAAAATCTACCAAATGACTCGAGAGGTAAAGTGTCCTGTTTCTGGTGTAGTTTCACTGAAAATGTTGTTTTATGTGTTCTTTTCTATGCCAGTGAGTCTCAGTATTTACGCCTCTTCCGTTTCTGCTACCTGTGCAAACGGACTAGAAAAAGGAGTGCTATTTTCTTTCTTACTTTCCACGCTCCGTTACCATCCATGTGTTATAACTTTCATTTTCTCTTCTCTTTGCACTGGGTTTTAAACAGGGAGAAAAATTATATCTTGGCTATTTGTCAAATATGGGGAAACAACCCCCATCCTTAATAATTTGCCAAGAGATGGAGCTGTGAAGTGCCGTGGTCTTTCTCTAATTTTTTCTTCTCCCTCTTACAGTGTGGCAAAGGTGCTGAAAACTTTGACAAGTTCTTTACCAGAGGACAACCAGTATTAACGCCGCCCGATCAGCTGGTCATTGCCAACATCGACCAAACAGATTTTGAAGGGTTCTCATACATCAACCCACAGTTCATACACCCCTTCTTACAAAGTGTATGAACCTTACCGATACGAACAAGCCTCACAGTGGGAAATGGTCCTTAATCCTAGAATTTTTAGGCCTTTGCCTTGTTGATTCCAGTTGGGCCTCAAAATTGTAGGGTTAGAAGCATAGGAGGAAGAAAAAGGCCAGTTATTAAGGATTTGACTTTGCAACAGAGATATTGTCTTAGAGATCATGTAATATACAGTGCCCATTCATTCAGCGTGAAGTCACTACTGGCTGTAGGTTACTCTTCTAAAGTTAAACTTTTTTGGTACGTTATAATACTTTCATAAACTTCCGTTGTCGTCTGCCCCTTGCCCACTAGCACTGGAATTTTTAACTAAACCACACTGGGGGGGATTTTTTTTTTTTTTTTTAAAAAGCACAGAGTGGACTAAAAATCCCCAAACACCGTAAAATGGAAAGCCTTCCGATCTTAATGCAGATGGCATGAGAAGCGAGCACCTAGCCCCGAGGGACCGCTCCTCCTCGAGGGCTTCCCGATGATTCCCGATAGAATGATAGCACAAGAGACTGAAAAGGAAGGGTAACCAGGAGGGCATCGTGGAAAACTTCAAACCAAAAAAAAAAACCAGTTGTTTTAAAAACACGAAATAAAGTCAGACTCTTGGGCTTTGTCAATTGATCATGTGAAGCAGAGACGAATGTAAGAACAGAATAGTGACCAGATGTTTTTCAAACATTGCAAATGACAGATGTTAGTTCAAGAGTGAAACTGCATATTTAATAATAATAATAATAATAATAATACTTCTATTACTTCAATCTCCATGAGATTATTCTGTGATCCAGGGTGCCATTCTTAGTTGTACTAATTTAATTTACAGCATTCATGATTTTGTTGTTAGCCAGTCCCATTAAAAATCTTTTTGCTGTTTAAAAAAAACCCCAAAAACCTGTCATTTAGCTAAGTGTGCAACAGAACTGTAACTGCATATGCCCTACTTGGATATATTTAATAGGATGCAGGGTAGGGTGGTAAGTGAAAGCACTCTATGCAGTGACTTACTGAAAGTACGTAGCTCGGTCACTTCTTGCTTTTCCCAGGATCCTTAGGAAAATAAAAATGAGACTTTCTAAAAAATCATCCCTTTTAACATTTCTTTAAACTGCTGGCGCTGTGGAATAATGGAGCCAATAAGGAAAAAAAAACAGCCAAGTTGTTTTATCAGTTGAAGGGAATTTAACGTTTTGCAGATGCTTCATGCAATGAAATTTGCATGTTTAGTGACAAACCTTAATAATAAGGGTTAATAATAACCAAATCTATATTGACATAATTGCATCAAATATAAAGAGTATTATAAAAATTTTATAAAAACAAAATTGTGCTATATTTGTGAAGGTTCGTGGTCTGAATGACATGATTTAGATCTAGTTTAATGTTTTATTGCTCATTTTGGGGTTTTTTATTTTTGGATAGTTTCAATGGCATAGATTATGTTTTTTTAGGTTTTTTTTAATGTAGATCTACTTGTAAACAATAATGGCTACCTGCAGGTTTTATACAGGAGTCGATTTGGCTGTCATTTCATGTCTGCTTTTTACTTGCAAAAAAAGAGCAAAACACTTTATTTGCAATGATAGACACCATAATAAATACAGTCCTCTCCTCTCCTCTCCATCACCTGGTAAAAATAATTGATATTTCCTCTTAGCACTTACTAGAACATATTGATTCAAAGATCAGTAAATACTTTTGTGCATATTTTAGTTTTGTTACAGCATGTAAAATGATATTGTTGTTGTGTTTTCCTTTTCTTTTAAATCCGTTTGCCTTGGTAATGTTAACAACCTTGGGCACTGTTTGCCTCTGGACGTGCATGTCAATGCCAGAAGCATGTTGTCTCAATACCTGCATGCAGAGTGATGACCATTGTTCCAGCATGCAAACATACTCTCATGCAAAGTAGAACATTTGCCATAAGACTTACAATTGTATCCAAACCTATAATGGGGGGAGCAACTCACTTATCCGTTTTATTACAACAAAGCATTTAAACCGTGCCAAAAGAACCCAGACAAACAGGGTGGGGAAAAAAAACACACACTATACATAAAGGGTCCAATCTTGCAAATTCTTCCTCATAGAAACAGTCATTGCTTAGCAAGTGGTCGGGCACTCACTGGCAAGTGCAGTCCAGCTAGCAGCGGGTGAAATCAAGTAGGCTTAAAACTAATGCACCTCTTCCGCTCTCAAAAGCTGTATTTTAGCATGTAAGTGATGCCTAGTGTGGACATTCTCCATACAAATTCATTTGACCCACACCTAGTCCCAGTATGATCACTGAGATGGCTCACTGCACACCTGAGTGAATGCATTCACAACTGGACCTTAAATCAACGGTTACTGGAGAACTGAACCTTTTAAAAGCGTAGAGAAGCAAGGGAGGAACGTTATGGTCAGCACCAGAACCTGGGCTATTGCCCAACCACAGAAAATACTAAAACGAAGCTGAAGCCACATTAGAGACTGAAAAATTGTTCCGTGTCAAAATATTAAAAACTACCCCAGAGAAGGAGTTCTTTTGTTTGTCATTCATGCATCTTTTAAAAAGTGGGTATTCAATGTAAAGCGTGTTAACATTTACAGTATTTTGCAGTCCTCTATAATTTTTCTAGTTACTTACCAGCATTTAACCTGACACACAGGATAGGGATAGCAGGATATCATGCCATAGATGATAGTAGGCCTGGCATATAATTACTTGGACTAATTATATTTCAAATAGCTATGGACTCTTAATGTCACTTGTTAAAATGACAGGAGCCAGTGCTATCTGTGTGGGTGATATCTGGATAATAGGTAATGAAGAAACTGTGAAAAGGAAGAGACAGAGAGGAATATCAAAGCACAAGAGAGCTAGAGGTAAGAAAAGAGAACCAGGGAGGCCAAGTAGAACGGCGCCATGCTAAAAACGGCCAGGAGATCAAGTGGGTTAGGTATGCTAGAGAAGGTCTTTCTGCCCCAGTACCAGATGTCAGTGTTGAAGTGGAGGTCTGTCCTTTTGGTTGCACACTCGTGTTTACTAAACAGGGCAGTCCATGGCAGAGCAGGACAAAGAACGTGTCCAACATCCAAACAAAACTCCTATTCAGCACTTAGCTCATTTTCTATACTTTTTCTTAAGCACTTGCATTTACTCTGCAACTTTTAAAATTAGGAGCAGGAAGTCCTCTCTGACCTTGTTACCTCAAAGTTTCAGTGTTTGTGACATCTCGCGTGTTCTTCTGTAGGCAACTGTAATGCTAACAAGATACCGTGAGGTCACTTGTCCTGCAAGAACAAGACTATGGGCGCATCGACACGTTGCCCTAGGGCGAGGTAGCGCCGCGCTGCATCGCTGTATGGCGCACTATGGCAATGTTGCAGTCACATGGGTCTACACATGTGATCGTCAGCTAGGTTGCCGCAGAGGCTCACGCCCCTGGTATAGCATGTCGCTATGGCAACATAGCAATGAAATCTTACCATGTGTCATGTACACGGTTCAGTAACCGCCCGTACTGCACCATGCTTTAATACTTCCAAAGTGGAGGTCTGTCCTTTTGGTTGCACACTCGTGTTCACTAAACAGGGCAGTCCATGGCAGAGCAGGACAAAGAACGGGTCCAACATCCAAACAAAACTCCTATTCAGGGCTTAGCTCATTTTCTATACTTTTTCTTAAGCACTTGCATTTACTCTGCAACTTTTAAAATTAGGAGCAGGAAGTCCTCTCTGACCTTGTTACCTCAAAGTTTCAGTGTTTGTGACATCTCGCGTGTTCTTCTATAGGCAACTGTAATGCTAACAAGATACCGTGAGGTCACTTGTCCTGCAAGAACAAGACTATGGGCGCATCGACACGTTGCCCTAGGGCGAGGTAGCGCTGCGCTGCATCGCTGTGTGGCGCACTATGGCAATGTTGCAGTCACATGGGTCACATGTGATCGTCAGCTAGGTCGCCGCAGAGGCTCACGCCCCTGTTATAGCATGTCGCTATGGCAACATAGCAATGAAATCTTACCATGTGTCATGTACACGGTTCAGTAACCGCCCGTACTGCACCATGCTTTAATACTTCCAAAAGGAAGTATGAAAGCACACCACCATAGCAATGTCGCTGTACAGCAACGTGTAGATATGCCCAATATTAGGCAAAGCAGTGAAAAAGGGACTAAATGGATGCGAGCCTTAGCCATTGTCACATCCATCACATCACATTGCTTGGAGCACCCCTTTAGACACAGGTTTACAAGGTGCATCCAATGGTTTGCCCATTATGTGGAAATTTATAAATAGAAAAAAAACGGAAGTGTGCAGCAAGAGTGGTCCTCATGCTATTTCATTACAGCTATTTATTTCCATGTTAGCTGTTTCCAAGACCTGGCTATCAAGTATTCATTGACATTAAAAATGAGGACAATTAAGTTTGAACTACTCTCCCCTCACTTGAAGGCTACATCAGAAAGCTTATAGAAGAAGAACGGTAACAATGTTGCATTCAGAAGTTCTAATTAGCCAATCGGATAAAATCCCAAGTGCATTCTGCTCCCCTTGATTTTAAAAGGAGTTGCAAGC